GTCAATTACAATCGGACAAATCGATGTCTAAAAAAAAAAAAAGGAAGTAGATTATCAAATAATCGGTTATTTGAATAATCGGATATTTGAAGATTCGAATAACCGAATAACCGGTTTTCGGATATTTGAAGAATCGAATAACCGAATAACCGGTTTTCGGATTTCATAAAAATCCGAATTATCCGAAACCGGTTAACCGACTATCCAAAAAACCGATTTCAGTTGCCAGCACTATATAAAACAGCATTATTCTTATAAACATTTTTAAAAGGTGTTTATAATTACAGGTATATACATATAAAATGGACAAATATGAATAAATATTTTAATTTCATTTTCATTTTGTAATGTTTATCAGAGATAACTATGTAATAACTATACAGGGTGTAACTTTTAGTGGGAGTTAGTTTCTTCGGGGTAATAGTACGTGATATCCAGAATATTATTCTAGAAACTTGTTTTTTTTTTTAAATCAAAGTCGAGTCGTTTTTTAATCGCACCTAAACTTTTGTGTATGGTGCGCAATATTCACATAGGTACATATTCATAGCGCAGGCGTTTGTTCGAGGTGACACTAGCCTGTCCGGGGGCGGAGTATGAAAAAAAAGGTTTCTAAATATCAAAAGTAGCTTTTGTATAAATATGTATGACCCTCAGTCGAAGTTACACCCCGTATAACATTTACATAAGTCTGAAAAAAAATAACGTCATTATAAAACATTTTCGCCATTATATTAATATTATTATATAGTTTTATTTTGGATGTTTTGTGCTGCGTAATAAATATATTTGGCGGTTTCACAAAAATGCACATGAACCACGGAAAGCTTGATATACACTAGACACAGAAATTAAGGAATATATACATTTTATTTTGTGTTGAGTTTTCACAAAAACGCTAAAACACGTCAATTAAGAAATAAGAATTGTCGTCTTGTCACGTTGCTTAAACCTTTTTTGCGCTATGTTTCATAAACCTATAACGTCATCGACATTTTTTTTAAATAGCACCACCTAATTTTTTAAGCATAAATGGATAGNCTAAGAGTATTTGATTCAAAATGAGTTCGGAAAGTGAAGACGGGCATTTACCAGGGAAAGTATTGGAAGCGGCAATTAGTGCTGTTTCACAATTAATCGCCAAAAAATCGTCGAGACAGTACGAGATTGCCTACAACGACTTCAGAGAGTGGTGTAGTTCGAAGAATATTCAAAAAGTGTCTGAAGAGGTATATTTCGAATACAAAATTAATACAATTAAACGTTCGACGTTATGGTCTGTATGTTCCATGTTAAAAAGTACACTGAATGCCAAAAAAATGTAAATATCAGAAAATTTCTAAAACTAATACCAATTTTGAAAAGCAAATCAGTTGGAGACCACCTGAAAAAGTCCCAAATTGTAACGTGAGAGATTTTTACAAAAAGCTCCTGATAATAGATTTCTGCTAGGGAAGGTAATTCAAATTAATATAAATCGGTCGATTTAACTAATTTGACAACTTTTCTGGTCGTTTTAATAATTGGTGTTTGTGGAGCTTTGAGAGGAGAGGAGTTACTTAAGATAACGATCGATGATATAGAATACAAAAAATCAATTATTATTATTATAAGAATTCCCGATTCCAAAACTCATACTTCTGGACGTTTTTTGATTCCAAGTCCAGACCAAATGAAGATATACCGCAAATACTGTGCTTTATGTCAGACAGTTATGATTTATAGTTCCGTTTGACAGAATATTAATGGTATTTTATTAATATCAACTCTGACCAATTCAGACTAATATCCTACCTTCTATACTTGTATTCAGGAACCCCATCATTCCTTTGTACGAGAACTGGTACAAGTAGACGTCTGCTAAGCTGGAGTGTAACTCGGCGTGTTGTATTATCGGTGTTGAAAAGTCAGAGTCGGTTTTGAACTGAAAATGAAAAATTATAGCAATTATATATTTTATTGAAACAGAAAATGTTTTCGAAAGTAATTCTATAAAACAGCNTGCAGCTACTGTTGTAGTTATGGAGAAAAAGTTGTTTTTGATAAATAGTTTTGCTTATCTTGGGAAGCCATGGTCCGTAATAAAATATTTAATAAAACATACAAGGCGTCCAAAAAATTTCAAAATTTTCCCTAAGCAAAGTACCTTTAATTTTTGTTTTTGTTAAAAACTGTTTCATTTAGTCAAAATAGAAAAATAATCATATTTTGCAAGTAAAAAGACGCGATTTTCTATCTTACTTAATTTAAGGCAGACAGAAATGGTAAAAAATAAGTAAACTTTTATTTTAAATTTAATAGAATATAAAAATAGTTTGGTAAAACAATTTCCGGGTTGGTTGTCACGTCGTCGGTTTAGGTTTCTTGACGTTTCGAGAGACATACATTTTATTACATATTTGATTACTGCCCATGGCTTTTCAAGATAAGCAAAACTTTTTAACAAGAATAACTTTTTCTCGAAACCCCATCCGGGGGCACACTGTATAATTATTAGTACTTCGATAGCCAGTATACATACCAACAAAAAAAGTCGCTTGTAATTACATTTCTTTATATTAGTCCAGACGGTATCTGTTTCAAAAAGTCCATATTTGGGTGAATCGTATATCTACGGAGATTTTTTGCTTTTTGGCTTTCAAATATCACTAGAAATGAAAATTTTTCTATGCGCATAAAAAAACGTGGGCTTAACTTTTGGCGGCACAATATGTTAAAAAAAATCGAAAAATTTCATATTTTTCTTCTTATTTAATTATGTATCTTTTCAAGAGTTGATTTTAGGCGAAAATGGAAGAGAAAAAAATGTTTGTAATTAAATTTTTTACAAAATATAACTAGTTACAAATCGAATGAATCATGATTATTATTGTAATTCGACCAATGTTTAAACAAGCTCCGGAGCTCTCCTAATTGACGGATTCGAATTTTTCAAAAAGCGTTTGAAAAAGCTTGAGAGCCCTCCCATATGTGATTAAATTTTCAAGTATCTAAAGGCCTTGGTTTTTGCTGTGAAAAATTTTGAAAATTTGCAAATTTATTTTCAAAATCTGGATTGCAAAATTATTATGCACAATCTATCGAACCGATTTTGATGAAATTTGGTGTTATGATTCTCTACTTACATAACATGAACTCTTGAAAACAAACATAATTAATAGCAAGAAAAATATGACACATTTCGAATTTTTTTAACATATTGTGCCGCCAAAAGATAAGCCCACGTTTTTTTTTGCGCATAGAAAAACTTTCATTTCTCCTGATATTTGAACGCCAAAAAGCCAGAAATGGATATACAATTCACCCAAACCAAAACAGATACCGCCTAGTCTATATTATTTTCCTGAAAAGTTATACAAATAGTGCTTATGGAGCTTACGCCCATTTGCGTGGTCAACAACGGTATACAGGATGGTCCAGATTTTAATAAACAAACTTCAGGAAAAAAATAGCAAAACTTAACATCACTTTGCTCTATGAACATAGGCGCAGAAAGCCATCGTTTATGAGATACAGGGCGTTGAAATTAACAAAAATAAAACAATTTTTTTAAATATCTGGAAAACCGCTTCATCAAATTTATTCAAATTTGGTACAGATTTTTTTCAAATATTTCTGCTAGTTTTGTATGTACACAGTCCAAATTCAAAAACCAGTGGCGGAGAAACAAGGATATCGTTTCCTTATTTAAAGTAAAACTTAAAACTACGTCACTTAATTAACTGGTAATATGAATACATTTTATAATGGTCTGAAACATTCCGGAAGAAAAAACAGTCGAAAAGTGAATGGTCTACGAGTTATGAGACATATTATCGAAGTAAACAAAACGTTGAAATAGGGAAAAATAAAACGAATTTGGGTGGTCCAGATTTTAATAGACAAACTTCGGGGAAGTACGAAACAAAAAAATTAATATCACATTGCTCTATCAACATAGACGCAGAAAGCCACCGTTTATGAGATACACGGCGTTGAAGTTGTTCTAGCCTTTAACATAGGTATCGCTTGGTTCAAATAACAAAATGTGTGGACTGCATTTTTTATATTTTTTATTCTATCTCAAAATAACCTCTTGCTCGGTTGAGCTCTGGTACAATACTAATACTAAACCACGTCTCGCCGCTCCAGCAGGAATGTTTTCAAAAAAGGGCTTCAGAGGGCGCGCCTATTCGCGACAACCCTTTCCAATGTAAAGAACATAACATAACAGAAGTTATCAAAAATAAAACAATTCTTTTAAATAACTGGAAAACCGCTTCATCGAATTAATTTATACAAATTTGATTTTTTCACATTTTTCACTATCGTAGCAAACCTGTCAGCACAACCTTCAAGTAACACGAACAAGTAAAGTTATATGAAAGTGTCCATCTCCAAACTCCTGCACTTTTGGCATCATTTGGTTATAGAATTCACAGCAGCTCTGATTAAAACTGGATCTTGCGTCAAATTAGTGCAGGCCCCATTTAGCCTTTGCACTGGCTGGTTCCAGACATTTAAAAAAAATGTTTTAATTTCAATGCCCTGTATCTCATAAACGGTGGCTTTCTGCGCCTATGTTCATAGAACAATGTTAAATTTTGTTGTTTAATGCTTTCCCGAAGTTTGTCTATTAAAATCTGGACCACCCTGTATAGCAAAGAACCGTAAATAATAAATATCTGTTAATTCTAGTATGTTCATTATTTATGAGCAAATAAAATCTGTTTATGGAACGTTGCCTACTTGGTTACTAACAGTTTTTACACGAAAACAGATGTTCTATAAGAATTTAGTTGTATACTACTAGGTATACTTTTGAAATACTACAGTCAGCGCAGCGCTTGCATGCGAGATTCGTCAAATACCGTGCATGAATAGTGGTTTTAAGGGGGGCGTTTTTCACCGCATTTTCAGAGAATTTACATCATTTTGAATCCTTGTATTTCAACAGTTTTATAATTTAGACGTATTTTCTTGTTCTATCATTGTCTTGCCAAACGTGCGATTTCTTGTTTATAAAACGCTAGCCTTAAGGTTTTTACGACCCATGATATTTAAAGTAACACGGGTTTTCGGATTGTTATACCATGGCCTCCGTATCTAGCGGCGACATTTGGTAACAGTATATTTTCAAAAATGTTCTAGGGTCTTAAGAAAGTGTGTTGAGAAAACAGAGATTCTCATTTTGAAACAGTCGGTGCTGTTTATATCAAATGTAGAATATTCACATCTGATATTTCTTTTTTTACTTTAAAATAATGTATATTACCACAGACAAAATAGCTATCGCCACAGACCGCTCCTGGAATAGGCCAGCAGTTTTAAATTTCCGAATTGCCGGTAGAGTACACCACCAGCAGAATTTTAGGAAGAATCAAATACAGCGGACCGCATACCTAAGCGTATCCTAGCAACATATAAACAAGACTTTGGTAATGTACTTCCCACCTACGAAGGCTGTCCAGGCCTACACGAGATGAGGCCTGATAAAGAGGGATAATCCCCCTCGATCCCAAATCATTGAGGCCAATTTCTAGCCATGGAATAATGGCGGCGGTAATGTACTTACGGATTTCTTTTGTACACTTTTTTTTATCAATATCTGTTTTTTGCGTTACTGTATTTACTTCAATGTATGATGTAGGTATTGATAAAAATGTTTTTAAAGAATCAACGAATATCTATGTATGTATCATATGATATTCTGCAGTGGTGTTACAATTAAGTTATTTAATCATAATTTCGTTAATTAGCTACCTACTATTTTCATTTTTTGGTATTGAAATACTGCAGAAAATATATTTCCAAATAAACAAAATTCGTAATAATATTTTAAACAGCTTGTAATATAATTTTTTTAATATTTGATGATGACGATAAATTTATTTAATATACAAGGTGGGTTATTAGTACGTCGCGGAATGTAGGTACAGGTTTTTTTTTGTATTTTGACATCCACTTATAGGTTTAATAATTAAAGATAGAAAGAAACTTTAAATACAAATGTACGACTTTTCCTTTATTTCATTTGACATCAAAATTTACTGGCATAAAATATATATGTTTAAAATAAAAAAAATCATTAAAAAAAATTAAAATTCATCCTTATGAAAATAACAAACAACGCTTTTTATAACTAACCTTTACAACAACATAAGGAGAATAACTAAAAACGAAATAACATTAATATACCTACAATTTTTACAAATCAACATGCAAGTGATTGTGATGATACAGTTGAAAATATGTTTCAATTTACTATTAATTGCTTCAAAAACAAATTCAAAATTATCAAGCATTTCGTCCTGTATTTTTTTTTCAATACTTGCAAATTTTCAGGTAAAAAAAAAATGTCTAAAGGACTGACAATGAGATCGGGGCTGTTTTCTGGCCACCTAAGGTTTCTAATAATATTTTTTAGTGTTCGTTGACGGGATTCTTCCTCCAAAATAAATTTGCCAATATTCCTGAAGAACTTTTGCACATTATTGTTATTTGAATAATACAGTTAATTATGTTTTATTTTTCGTCATCAGAATAACCCATTGTAATTTTTTTAATTTTTTAAATTAAAATGGGTTATTCTAATAATGATAAATCCCATGTATTTTTAAAAGAAGGTTCGTTTCTGTCGTTTTTGTCTGATTGTGTGCGAGAGAGATAGAGTTATAGTGTGCGATAGAGATAGAGTGACTCTGTCCTCATAGAGAGCTTATCTCTCTCTCTCTCTCTGCTGTCTTCAGGAGTCTCCCCAGCAATTTCAGGACACCTAGGGAGGGAACGTGGGGTAGAGCGCGTGGCCTTGTTAAGCCTTCGTTATCGATCTATGATGTCACACAGTATAAGAAAAAAAAATGGTTTTTGCTCGTAACTCGGAAATGGCTGGAAATATAAACAAATTTCCCCTTGGTTCTGAGTAGAGCACTCGGTGGGTGACGCAGAGCGGGGTGTCACAATATATGAAAGAAAAAAAAAAAGTATTTGCTTAGACTCTTAAGTATCAAAAAATCTCCCATGGTGAACAAATAAATCTCCCATGGTGAACGAGTGAAAAACGTCAAAACCCGCATGTCAAAAAAAAAAACGGGACCAACGGTGTGTGACGTCATAGGATAAAAAAGTGTTTATAACTCGGAAACGGTGCGTTGAATCGAAAAAATAATTGAAAAATGTCAACCCCTCCCTCCCGGGTTCTGTATGTTCCTTCTGCGTTGAATGCAAAAGGTCCGAAGTCCGTATGTCGAAAATAAATTCTGGAAACAAGAGGTATGTCGTGTTATAGTAAAAAGGCCGTATAACTCGGAAACGGTGCGTTAAATCGAAAAAATAATTGAAAAAATCTCCCCACACCCCTGGTTCTGTATGACAGTTCTGCGTTGAATGGAAAAGGTCCGAAGTCCGTATGTGGAAAATAAATTTCGGAAAGAAGAGGTGTGTGAGGTGATACAGTAAAAAAGGTCTTATAATTCGGAAACGGTGCGTTGAATTGAAAAAATAATTAAAAAAATCTCCCCACTACTCTGGTTCTGATTGTCCGTTCTGCGTTGAATGGAAACGGTCCGAAGTCAGTATGTCGAAAAACAAAAAAGTTAGTTAGTTAAAAATTGCAACAGCAGTAGCGAACGCATTATCTTATCTCTGTATTGATTGATGATTTGTTGTTTTTTTTTAAATAAATTTCGTATTCAACTACTCCTTGAGGTTCCAGCAATTTTACATTGTGTTAATTTTTTTGAACACCTTGTGTCACAAATATGGGCACTACCAATGACATCCATAATATGCAACACTTGTGTCAATAAATAATTATTTACCTATCTAAAGAAATCAACAATAAGAGGCAGTACCCATCTAAGGATACACAATCTGTATAATGCAATTTTTTTAAACATAGGTTTTGATATCGTACCATATTGGAAGTCGACGCACAAATCTAAAAACATTACTTTCGAGTTTTTGAATTTTCCCATTCCAAGGTGATATAAAATAAATAATTAATTAGGTAAATTCATAGTTTTAATTCTAACTTGATTTATTTTATTTAACATTTAAGGCAAATGTGATTTCCAAACACAAGATAAGTTCCATATCTCTTTAATTACATAATTGAAAGCATTAAATTTATTTAGCAGTTATTATTTGGCAACAAAGCCACCGCTGGAACTGCCGCCTATTAGCAAGTAGAAGAGTTACCACGCTAAATTTTATAGCTGAAAGCCGGCTAAGGAGACCCTGCTTCCATTTCGGGTTGCCAATTTCCAGCATTTAAGTAGCAGTCTGTAGCGATACGCTATATTGTCTGTGATATTACATTACCAGTGATATTATGGACAACTGATATTTGGTTAAATATATATTTATTTTAATCGTTATTTACGTTGACTACAACTGATAAGGTTTATAAAATTTTGATATACTTACTTCTTTTCTAAAGGCTCTACTTGTATTTAGAATTCTCCACCATCTTAATAGTTAGATAAACATTAGACAACAGTTATATTTTCTAGAATAACGGTTTGCGAAATTATTTTAACAATTACAATACGCTTTATAATGCAAACAGAAATATTTTATGACACAGTCCTAGAAACGTATATAAAATAATTCAATGTTTTATAAATTTATTATAAAAATAGTTCAATGAATAGTAAAATCAGTTCATCTGCAGATAACGAAATAATATTGAATATAACTGTAAACAGCAAATAAGTATTTTGGAATCAATGACAGGCGAACAATAAAACCCGATATAAGTCGAAAATTATAAAACAAGATTGCTTATTACCCACCTTCACTAGAGCGCTCAAATTATCCTCGAAGGTAGTCTTTGTGTACAGTTTCTTCAGTTGTTGTCCGGCAGTCTCTTTGCTTGTTTCATTAATGTTATACGCGTTACCTACGATTTGTGAATCATCCGCGTCCAATTTCGCAGCCTTTCCTATAAAGTCTATAACTAGAAGAAAAAAAAATATTGATCAGTTCTTTGAATCATATAAATATCAAAATATACAGGCTGTTACAAATTCACTTCTCACTACAGGGATCTTGAAAACGGTATAGTCCATTGAAAAGTTACATTTATTTGGGGTTGCAAAAGTCAGAGCACGCAATTTTATTTTTTGGATGTCAAGAAGGGGTTAGTGTAAAGTTAAATTTATGTTCGTGGGGTCGTAACCCTTGTGCATCGGCCGCCATCTTGTAAAAAGGGCTGCGAATGGTTTTTATACTACTACTTACTATATCGGGCAAACTATTCGTTGCACAGAAAATTTGTAAACACATTTTTTTGTTGCAAATTAAATTCTCTACAAATTTGGTTGACAATCCGTTTTTGTTTAATTTCAGCCTTATTTGAGGTGATATTGAAAAAAGAAGAACACTTTCTCATGGCCACTTTTTGCCCTCTATCGAATGGCATAATCAATTTTTATATGTAACGTTTCGTCTCTCATGAACTTAATTTTTTTTAAATACGACTCTGAAAATTTTATTACATTTTTTTGCAAGCATTCATGACTCCTAATACTGTACTGCCTCAGCCCGAACCAGATTCAGACGTTCTGTCTCGAAAAATTCATGTTCAGTGTTCAGTTCCAAATTTATCAAAATTTTTTATTTAGATTTCTTTGGTTATTGAATTATCGTACACTGGAAATGTCGTTAGACCCTGTGAAATCCATCTAGTTATTTAAACTATTAATACCATTCATTAAAATAAAACAGAGTTTTATTCCCATGTTCATAATTATTTCTAGGCTTCTCGAATGCTCAAGATTGAAACAAATTCCGAACTATTTTTTTCAGGATATTCATACAAATACATCTGACATGCTCTTTCACAGTTGCGGTTACAGATATAATAAATTCCGATAATATTACGCTGATCTTAATTTTCAACCTTTGCCAAAACGAAAATGTTTTTGAACATTTACTGAAATATTTTAAAGAATAATATTCAGTTGGCGTTTTGGTTGTTCATATTAATTTTTAAGCATTAATTTGTCTAATAAAATTGAAAATGTAATAATGTTTTAAATTTTGACGCAAAAACTTATTGAGTTATGTATGACCAAGTGATGGTAATAGCTAATAATAATAAACGTTTTATTGTAACGCGTGGTGGTAATAGTTTAAATAACTAGATGGATTTCACAGGGTCTAACGACACTTACAGTGTACGATAATTCAATAAACAAAGAAATCTAAATAAAAAATTTAGATAAATTTGGAACGAATACACTGAAGATGAATTTTTCGAGACAAAACGTCTGAATCTGGTTCGGGCTGAGGCAGTACAGTATTGGGGGTCATGAAGGCTTGCAAAAAATGTAATAAAATTTCTAGGGTCGTATTTAAAAAAATGAAGTTGATGATGGTCCTGGAGAGACGAAACGTTACATATAAAAATTGATTATGCCATTCGATAGAGGGCAAAAAGTGGCCATGAGAAAGTGTTCTTCTTTTTTCAATATCACCTCAAACAAGGCTGAAATGAAACAAAAACGGATTTCCAAAATTTCGTTTTTTTTCAAATATTTCGAAAACTAATCATGTTAGCCTTGATTTTTTAGAGGCATAATGTTGGTCCCCTGATTAAGCAACTTTGCCCCCATTTAAGCTACTTCGTACCTCTTATCGTTTCCGAGATCCCTGTAGGGAGAAGCGAATTTGTAATAGCCTGTATAAAAAAGGAACTTTTTGAAAGACCTCGAGAAATAAAGGTTATGTTTTTCGTTTACTTTAAAGCGGACACCCCGTCTACTTGTCGGTTGCAATATTTACCATCTCCTATAAGCGCGATCTCTTCTTCGGAATTATACCCTATCATGATCGGCACCTTGTTTACATTGCCCTCCTTGATGTCTTTGTGCATTGGACCAGTAATAAAAGCTCCATCAAGTTTTTCGTTTTCCACCACAGGCACCCACACTAGGGAACCACCGCCAATTCTTCTTTCCTTGTCTTCAGGTACCTACAGACAATATAGAATGTATTTGAATCTTCACAATTTGCATTTTACATAACAAATTTTGGTCCATTTGAAAATTTTTAGAAATAGATCACTTGAAATATAAATCATAATAATATGATATAATTCAAGATTACTATCAGCGGGTTAGAGTGGATACAGTATGTGATATTTGTTAAAAAACCGTCATTCAATTATGTGTAAGTACTTAAATCTATTTGCAAATCGCTACCAAATATTTATAAATATTTAGAAGCCGTTTGTCATAGTAACGTTAATGATTGATATAACAAGAATACGGTTCGTAGAACGTCTCCTTTGAGAGGTGAAGGGTGTTGAACTTTATTTTTAAAAATAAAAAAAAACCTATATTATTGGAAAAGCACCTAACGTCTAACTAGATTAACGTTATAATGTTTTTTTAATCATTATATTTGGCAACTACCTATTCAGCGATACGCATTCGTTTATTTTATCAAAGTGATATCGAAATATCGAATAGTATAGTTTTAAATCTGCATGTTTGGGACGATAAAATCTCAATTCGTTTCAATTTAAGTACCGTTTCGAATAAATTATCGTGCCATATCTTACTGTATGAACGGAGGTAAGTGTACATCATTTATTTCAAATTTTAACTTTCTTATAATCAACAGTAAAACACAAGAGTTTTTGTTTTTATCGAATAAATTTCTCTTTTTAACTAAATAATTTTGCTAATCAGTAATTTTACGAGAAAAACTGACATGAAAAAAATGGCGAGAGCGATTTTGTCAAATGTCTGGTTTTTGACAAGATAAATTAAAGATCAAATATGAGAATGAACAACAAACATAAATATCTTTATTGATTCTATGTGAACGAATAACAACCATTATCTTTATTTATTCAAATTATTTGAAGGGACAGTTATTAAATACACAGTTATTATAAATTGTTTGGTTTGGTGTACTAATTTTAATATTTTCTTGTCTGGTTTCAGTTGAATGTTCCTTTTGACTTATTCCATAGGTCTGTAAGTTACCAATAAGAGTTTCGTGATCAGCGTCAATTTAAAGGTAGGATTTAATGGATGATGACGATGAGTGTCCGGTTATCTTTATCAGTTGTTGGTCACTTGTCCCTGCTTTGGCTAAGTGAGAAACTGTACTGGGTCGGTTTGAATGGTTGGTAATTTTATTATTTGTGATGACCAATCCAATTTTAGCTGCAGATTCTTTTGTCCATGTAGATATAGTGTTAATTCCTAGTGGAACATTTTTATACCAACTTTTAGAATTTGTGTTTGTCCAAAAGGGATTTGGAGTTAAAAAATGTCAATCGAATGTTATGTTTTTGTTTCTCTTTTCTAAGAGCAATTTTAACATTTTAACGGGACAAATACTTTTATAGTTCTTATTTTTACAAGCTTTTATTTATTACAAGCTTTTACATACTTAACTTGCCTTCTCAGCATGGGTCAAATCTTGCAACTGAATTTTAAAACAGTTATCCCCACACCGATTGAGCTGAAATTTTGCATACACGTTTAGTTTGGATGACAATGCATGGTTAGCTACGTGACGTCACTCTAAATCCAATTATATGGGTATCAAATGAAAGGGTTTGCTGAGAAGAATACTAAAATAAAATGACGTCGCTAAAAGCTTGTTTTTAAAATTATACATGAACTTATTTGTATTGTATTCGATTCTTCCTGTTGATGTACCATCTTGATTTTTTTTCACTTATAAAATGGTAAATTTTACAGTTTGTAGCCTCTCCTACCCTCCAAGCTAATTCATAAGAAGTTATATGAAAGAAGCTTTTTTGTAATCCCTCTGGTTTATTTATATTCCACAATTTTGCCATTCTTAGTATATTTTTCTAGTCTATTGCATACCTTTCTTTTCTCTGGAATAGCTTGAAATTCCATTCTTTTATGTTTCTTGCATCACGAGCTTTTTAAAAAGTTATGTCGCTAAAAGGATCAAATTTCATGGTATTACGAGTATATCCAATGAAATATTTTTCTTGAATCATCTTTGCAGTGGAATTCCAGATTGTTATAACTTTGTAATCTTCCCCAGTTTTCTTTTTCATATTATATGCCCAATCCTTTAACATATCCGCTATATTTTCTAATGGAGTTATTTCTGATAGTTCGTAATTGCGCATTCGATTCCGTAAATTGTCTCAATATCGACGATTCAGTGTTTTTGTGGATTGTGGACATGTTTCTCTTTTTTCTAATTTACACAGTCGAAATTTTTCCAAAACTACTCACATTATGTATATTTTATACTCACACTTTTAACAATACTTAATAATTGTAATGACAGGAAACATTTGGAACTGACGCGCGCCTACTAGTTTACTATAGTTTAGTTTAGAGTTTAGATGAACAGGAGTTTTTATCGGTGATAAAAAGCTACGTACCGTTTCATCGTTGTCAAAGTGACCAAAACTGTCACTATTATATACACATTTTTTTTATCTAAAAAAAATACTAAACGTAATTCTGTCGAACAAAAATTATTTATCTGCGCCACTGGCAAAAATCAACGATAGATTATAATGTTAATCAGCGCTCATGTACTTAATGTTTTGTCTAAATACGCGAATGATGTTTTACAGAAAATGTAAAGAATCAAATATTATTTCAATCTACATATCTCATTAGGGAAGCGTTCTCCGACTTTTTTCTCGTAATAAGGATTTTCTATTAACTGTTAATAATGCCATTGTTGTAACACTTCCGGTTATTCTGGGCTTCATCTCTGTTCGACCTTAAACTGAGAAGTTGAAAAAATTAATCAAATAAATTAATGCACAGGGTGTTTTTACGATAAATTTTCAAAAATGGTCAAGAATAAAGTACCTTTGTTTTTAAAAATACCAAAAATATTTACTTAATTGTTATTGAAAACTAAAAGTTATGATAGATTGTTAATTTTCAATTTGATCTGCCAATTTTGTTTTTTTTTTCTTTTTTTAATATCCTTGGATTCAAAGCAATGGCACGCTGTTATTTATGTCAATCCCATATGTCAAAATGTCACGTTAAAAACATTTTGATTAACTTTGCTAAATTAGAAATGTTAACACTAGAACAAAATTTTTTTATTGTATTAGGGTTTGGGGGAAGAATATTCGTATGGTACAGTAATAAGAAAATTCCTGGAAAAATGGCCTAATGTATACGTGTCAATGAATGGTATTAAAAAAGTTGTTACAAAATTTGGCAGTACTGGCAGTGTATTGAATGTGAAAAAGAAAAAATACGACCTAAATGAAGACGACAATGCAACGATTACACTTGCTATGGATTCTGTAAAGCGCTATCCTAAAATGCCTTTAAGGAAAAGAGCACTAGAAATTGGCAATATTAGTAAATCGCACTTGCAAGTTATTTACAAGTTTAATAAAGTAAAACCATTCAAAGCTAAATTTATACACACATTAGAAGAAAATCATTGGGCAAAATGATTAGAAATTTGCTTGTGGTAAGGTGACTAAGTTTTTCAAAATCAAAATTGTCCTAAAAATATGATTTTTTCTGACGAATCCACTTTTTCTACAAACAGAGTTGTAAGTTCTCAAAGTTTACGATATTGGTCCAAGGAAAATCCAGAGTTTCGGGTTCCCTGCAGAAGACATTATTATAAAAAAGTAAATGTTTGGTGAGATATCTCTTACGATGGAATTATAGGAATTTGTACTTTGTGGTTGTGAAAAATAAAAAAAACAAAGAAAAGATGTCACAACTTTAGTTCTCTATAACTTTCTTAAGTAAATGATATTTTTAAAAACAAAGGTACTTTACTCTTGACAATTTTTGAAAATTCATCATAAAATCATCTCAACATTAATTGGACTAATTTTTTCAACTTCATAGTTTAAGACCAAGCAGAGATGATGCCCTGAAGTTCAAATTTCAACTCGAAAAACTTTTGTCATTTACGCCCCACGTGCACTTAATCTCTGGACACACTATACATGAAATATGGATAGAGGGTAAAAATCTACAACAGTTTTTTAATAAGTACTACAACAATGGTATTATTTTATTTAAAGAGACCATTCCCCAAAATCCCAGTCTTAATTTTTAAAATTGAAATCGAAGTAGTATTTATCTGAAATATTCTAATAGGTCGTTATCGTAAAACAGCCTGTATATTAATGATTAACAGAAACGTTAATTTAAAGATCATGTCCTGCGTGCGTATACTTACTTCAAGAGAGATTTTGTTGATGTCTTCAGCATCAGCGTCTTGCAATACTTTTAAGAGATCCGATGACTTCTCAGACGTAAAATTTTTGTTCAAAGCCTTGCCCATTTCGAAAGCGTAGTACTTTCCGTATGGTTGATAGCCGAATGAACAGATGGCTGTGCCGCTTTGTAGAATAGCCCCAGCGATCAGTCCTAAATAATGTTCATCCAATACAATCACATTATACTTACTTATAATTAGACTTCTGATTTTTTTAGATCAAAAATATACTTAAATGTTAATACAATATGGCGCTACGTGAAGTTAATAATAATTACTGTAATGTGTAATAAAATGAATTCTAATTTGTTATAGATCATTTCGACGACACACGACAAACTATTGTACAAATGAATATATTCACAGAAAATACATACATATATCACGCTACAATAACATTAATACCAAATAGTAACACTAAGTAGGTATAAAAGCTAAAAAAAGGCGTAAAACTGAAAACATTTAACTGGAACAGTTTGTTGTAAGGTCCGTTTGACTGTGATATGGATATGCTTAAAACATATCGTTGCGTGCAATTTTAAGGTTATTATTGACAAAAAATTGTCGAGCCATGTTTCCAATATGTAACAAGGATTTTTTTCTATGAAACCACATTTGAAATATTTCCCTATTTATTTTTTTCCCCTTTTTACACGGAGAGCTGGTAGACATTTTTGGCTAGGTGTTTTAGGCACTGAAAAATTGTTCAAAACTTCTTCTAGTGATACCTGAATACGAAAATACAGACTTGCCTGAAGGGTTGCGGGGCTTAAGCGACCATTCGTTTTTTTAAAAAGCTACATTTTTTTTGCAAAAAATATTCTTGAGGCACTGAAATATTTACAGGATAATATTTGCGACTATAATTAGATATTTACAAAAAGACAGTTTGTTTCGGTGGGACATTTTACCTACCAGGTGAGTGAGAATGTAATTATATACATTTTTTTACATTGCGGTTTATTCTACAACAAAAAGATCTCTTACTATTTTTAAATGAAATCATTGGTATTTGAGAAAAATTGCTTTTTATGGATTCAATACATGTGAAATGGTGAAGTTTTTCATCGACAGTAAGTAGAGTTCAACTGAAGCTTTTAAAGGGTTGATAAGGGATGATGCACCATTAAAATGCGACAGAACTTTTTAACTCGTTTGGACTTATTACTTTATTTAATTTTAAAACTCTTCTTACTTTTGTTAATTTTCAAAAAACTTTGTCGTCTTCAACAAAAACACGAATAACTGATAATACGTATTGCAGTTGTTATTTAAAATCATCGAAAATTCAAAAGTTGGCTATGAATTTAAACGTCAAACTTGACGACCAGGAAAAAAGTCAGTCACTGGTTCACATTACACACCTTTTGTTCAACTTTGATTGAATGTTGAATCGATATTAAAGTCTCTTGCGATTTTATGCAACTATACTGAGACGAAATGTTCTCGGTAATGCCACTTGCAACGTATACAAAGTCCTGCGCGCTGGTGGTTACCGAAGTGATCTAGAGTTCGGGAGGCGTGGTTCCGTACTCAGCGCACAATTTTCATTTCAGTCCTTTGCTCAACTTTATTCCGGACGTTCCATGTTTTTGTTTTATATGTTTGCCGAAATATTAAGTCCAGGTTCTTCACAACATCATGTTTGTAAACTATTATTTAATTTTCTTGAGCACTTCTCCCCCCTAAAAAACATTTTTTTTTCGAATAGAGTTAAAATTGCAATTAATTTAAAAATATGTGTTACACCATTTTCTAAATATTGGATTTAAACAAAATTTGTAGCATGTAGTGATATGTTCTCAACAACAAGATGTTTTCACTTTTATTTATTTTCTTTTATATTTGTCACTAATGTTACTATTTGTTATTACTATTATCGTGTTGCGAAATATTTTTAGTGAACTATTGTGTAGTCAAGTGAACTATGACGGTTTAAGGAAAATAGTAGTAGTAGATATGTTAAAAGTGTATGTTCAGTGAATGAATCGGGAAATTATTCCATTATAACTACAATTGTAAGTGTCTAGTTAGCTGCTAGTCAGTTAGTTGTCAGTAAGTAGAGTTAATTGTTGTCATAAAGCGTTTGCAGTGTCCAGTAGCGATCGTGATGCAGTGATCAAGTGCAGTATAGAACAGTTAGAGAAGTATCTGCTAATTTGTGTGTAGTCATTAAAAAATGTGATAGTAGGTAGTACGAATTGTTTTAATTGTCAACAAACAGTTGTTACCTTCTGTCTTCTTGCTTATCAGGTGGTAACCCACGGAGGCTCCGCCTGCGCTCTCTCCAACGATTGTTATTTGTTTTGGGTCTCCACCGAATTGCTTGATGTTTGTGTAAACCCATTGTAGTGCAAAATGTTGATCCTTCAGGCCGATATTTCCGGGAATAACGTCGTCTTCAGTTGTCAGGAAACCTAAAAAAAAACGTTCAGATAGACGTATTAATAAATTCTTCTCTGAATTAAATCGTTAGTATTTATGTTCAAGTGAACGACTGTTCTTTAAATAGAGAAATGTGGTTCTTTCAGATGTGTAGATTGTAGTTCCAAACATAAACATTTATTTGTCCACGCTGTGCCCAAAACCATCCACTGAAGGAATGTAAGTCTGAAGTTCTCTGCTGTGCTAACTGTTATAACTTAAAAAAAAGAAAAGACGCTAAATATTCTGGTATTGATATACATCATGCAGTCTGGGATAGTCAGTGTGTAGCTTACCAACAAACTTTAGATATATTTAGATCCAACATATTGGAGCCGCGGTAGCAATCAATGTCACCTACCCAGTTAATAACTCATGCTAGTCAATATCTTACATGTTACTACCAGAATGTTCGTGGACTGCGTACCAAAACTGAGCGACTCTTTATCTCATCGACTGCTGCTACTGAATATGACATTATTGCATTTACTGAATCATGGTTGAATAGCAGTTTTGTGGACTCGGAGCTATTCGATGTTGTCGTTTATGATGTTTTTCGGTGTGATCGGAGATATGATTGTACCAATACAAGTAGAGGAGGGGGGG